GTGGGCGACAAGGAGCTGATGACGAAGTAGGTTTGCACCTTTGAAGTATTTAGTTTAGTTTAAATAGGGCCCCAACTTCATTTTTGCCCGGGGGCCCTTGGTTACATAGCTACGCCACTGTACATCTAAGATGACTATACGGACAAGTGTTTTACACAATGAAATAATAGCTCAAGATAATTTAAAATCCTTATGGCCAAATACTCAAACGCTGCTCAATTGAGTATTTGGGCATTTGTGTTTTGTTTGATAAAACCTAGAATTTGAGTAGCTTATTTGATGGATTTATCAATATGTTCGTCATATGTAAACTTAGAGTCGACACACAGATCGCGAATCTCAGTAATTCTCCAGTTGCATGCCGAAGTACCTGTAGTAAATGTGGAAAGATAATTTCTTTGTTGTGTATTTAATGTAGAAATACTTCAGGACATGACACATTCTATTCGATGTACACCAATAACAAATTCTGTTTTAATCTTCTTGAATTAGTATCGAAACAATGAAAGTTTACTATGCAGGATGTAGTTGAGAAAGAGAATGGAGAAATATAAAACAGGACCACGGTGGACACCCCTGTGGAACACCCGAGATATAGCAATATAGGTTATAGACGTTCAATTAGTCGCCATCGACTTCAACCACCTGCTGCCGATTCATTGGGTTAAACTGAAACATCACAACAAGCAAAGTTTTTTTAGTTCTTGTTGATATCAAGGGTCGCCCAAAACCGGCAAGTTATGGTCGTCCACGGGTTTCTGGTAGCCCCCATATCTAAGTACTGTTCTCTCGTGAGAAGTTGCTAGTCTATCCACCGGGTGTAACGAGCGTAGCAGGGTGACAATTTAAAAAGAAAAAAAATACGAAAGACGCGTGCTTGAGCGCGTGTCAGAAAGTTAGGCATTGTTTTGGCGTCATTGGAAATAATGTTCTCCAATCCAAATTAAAGTCTTAACGCAGAGTAGCCATCTGCGCAGGACCGGATTATAATGTTAGAGTGTATGCGCAAACACGTGCTATCTATATAACTTCATCACCTAGTCCTAAGAGAGCGGCTTTACAAGCTTAGGCACAGGGTAAAACTGCAAACTTTCTGACTCCGAATGTGTTACTTTGAGAATTTCTTGTCAGAAAAATGTAATAACTGATTTTGGCCCGACCTGGGTATTCTATCCCGGGACCACATTTAGCAGTTGCGCGACAACGCGATATTAAGACCAACGAGGCAATAGAATGTACGTAGTGTTTTTTGAAAGCCGTGTGGATTTCCAATACCGGCCCCATTGATATCATTAGGTAATTTAACTTCACCATTAATTTGTAATGTTACGAGTAACATAACTTTTTTCTTACTGGCTGGAAACTGAATGTATCAAGTGTGTATGTATAATGTATCAACAGATTGATTAAACCATTGCATGCGTAAGGCAAGCATCATATCATAGTCTGTGATCATTGCGGTGTGTATTCTAAGGGCTTCGCATTCATAACCTGTCAGTGGCTTTATCGAGAAATTATTTTAATTTCACCCTGGCTGCATCTCCAAAATTGACTTCCGCATTATCACTTGGGCCTGGTTGGTCTTGGAGGTCAATAATTGCTTACTTGCTTGCTTATAAAAATAACGCATAGAAACCCAATAGTTGGATGAAAAGTGAGTAGACAAAACTATTTTATGAAAGGACACACTAATCTCCGGCCCAGCACAATAAATAATAGTACCCTCAGGATGGTAGGTGAATGTTGTGACCCATAGACATCTACATCTTTCTTCGATTAAGAATCAAAATGCTGATGCTGCAGATGCGTTGTCACTTGTCACCTATGAGGACTAAGATGCAATGTCACGTTTCCATTAAAAGGTCACTGGAACTCAACACACAATATGAAACAACAGCATTTTTACGCTGATATTCTGCGAGGTCCTCGTCCTTGTCCTTCTCCGGTAGAGCCGACCCATTCGTACTAAACCACAATATAGCTGCAGCATGTCTCTAACAGGTATTTAGAGTTAGTTGGTCTAAGTTTGCGTAGTTAGCTCTTAGTAGTCTAACAACTAACTAAGCAAACAAAGGCCAACTAGTTATTGGTCACGCTCTGTCGAACACAGCTCGCGAGTACTTATTAAATGTTACAGTTTGTAGCGAAAAGAGAAGTAAAATTTATCAAATTACATTTCACAAAAACTCATGTTTTATTTTTTATCTATACGCAAAAAATCGATCATCAAACAAAAATTCTAATATTACGATACAGTGTTGCTAGTTAGCGCGGAAAAAATAACCAATGCTTATTTTTGTATTGCAAAAACTTTCTTTGTTTTTTTTATATTTTGATATTATCATATAATTATTTATTTGCATTAGGTTTTGTTACATTAGTTTTAGTAGATAGATACTGGTGTCAATTCTATGTGCCTGAAACAAAGCAAAATTTATAATTTAAAATTAAAAATTTTGTACAGCCGACTTCAATATAAGTTATTTAAGAATAACTTAAAAACTATTAGTCTGACCTTGATCAAATTCATATGGGACCACACGAGAAGTACCAGCTTTCAAATAAAAAAAGAATCATCGAAATCGGTTCACCCAGAAAAAAGTTCTGAGGTAACACACATAAAAAAAAAAAAAAAACGAAAAAAAAAAACATACAGTCGAATTGAGTACCGGCTCCTTTTTGGAAGTCGGCAGAAAATTGACAGTTCTAAAATGATTGTCATTTCTTTCGTTTTCGAACAGACTAGTAGTGACGGCAATTATTAAAGACGTGTAATTTTTTTTAAATATAGTTAAATTTGGCATACACACCACTCGATACTTTAATAAGTACTGTATTTTAAAATTGATTTTTTCACGTGAAAGCTAACGTATGAAGCGGATGAACGTTTTTTGCATAATATTTATCTTAAGTTTTAGTTAAGTTTACATTTTTTTAAAAGATGTAATTTCTGAAGTTCGCGACATGAATAAACTCGCTACAATAAACTTTTATGTCTACATACTACACATAACTAGTGAATGATTAAATTTTCTTTTTATTCTATAAATTAAAAAAAATATTTAAATATTGAATTTTTATTTTTGTTAAATGAATAACCATGAGTAAATATAAATGAATAACCATCTTATCCAATTCCTTACACGAGAAAATAAAACAAAGTAACATATAAAGGCTTGTCTTAATAAAATAAATGATCACCTAGAACAACAATGCGTTTTCCCATATTTTGTGGGTAAAGGCCTAATGATGGCAGCATTGAAAGCTATATTTTGTATGCGTTTGACTGAACGTAAAGTTACGTAGTACTATGACTATTATTTATTTTGTGGTAGAGTTAACAAATGTTAAATTCAACTCATGTCTCACGCACACTAATAAAATGAAGTTACCTCACGATAACTCTCGTGTTTCGTTTAAGACGCAGTTACCACTATACTCATATGGTTTTACTGTGCGTAATTATTCTCATAATTTATGATTGTGTACTTGCGTTTAATAGTAATAAAACGCACTAAAACCGGAAACATTAGCAAACATCAAACAATAAATTCTGTAAGACGATTTCGTATCCGACATCTGAGGAAATGTTCATTAAAGATGTTAAAAAAATTAATTATCTTAGATAAAAGATGTTAATTAGGTTAGATCCGCTTAATAAAATAAAATGATGTGTCTTACCTGAGGCGGAAGGGGCTCTTCAAACTAAAAGAGCACTTCTCGCCCACCCTTAATTGCGTGCACTGTCCCCGTCACCACTAATCTCAGCACCACTACACTAGGGACAGACACACCACCATCGATAATACGACACGTGTTTCGCCTCTACACGAGGCATTCTCAGGTAAAATGACTGCGGTAGCTCAATGCTATGTGATGAGCGGCGTTTATTTTTTTTGAAAGTGTATGTTGTTGGCCCTGCGGCCTTCATCAAAACAGACTCGTAAGCGAGGACTTACGAGCTATTGAGTGAGCCGAACGCCGATTCTGCCGACTGCTCGTGGCACCCCGGCCCCTACTTTTGGAGTGAGGCTCCTTGAGCTAGGGAGAGGCTTGATGTGATTCAGGACCCCGCAGAAGGAAGTACAAATCTCGGCTTCAACCACTATTGGAATGAGGGAAACGGGTCGTAAACTAAAAACGCCCCGGCATACGGCATGTGTCTGTGACCTCGTGTTCGTTGGTTGGTTTCTGATGTTAGTGCTGTTAGCCTTTTGGCTCTTACAGGTTCATAGGTCTCAAAAATGATGATTTTATATTATTCCCAACACAGAACAGATAAAAGAGGTTTTCTCTTTACCTCTATTTACCTTTCTCTACCTCTTTTATCTGTTGTGTGATTCCCAACGCTACTTACGTACGTAGTTCACCTACGACAATTTAAAGTGTACGTAAATGAGTCATCTAACAGCCATCCGAACAGGGGGCTCTGACAGCTAACTCGTATCGTTCGATGTTCTGGGCGGTGAGAAACACCCAGGGTCGCGGGTGTACGCGATGTAGAGGGGTGTGCGGCGAGTCCGTCTGTCCCATCCGTTGTCCTAACAGTGTTTGTTGGACTAGGTGAATGTGTAGTGTTTGGGTGTGACTGGCCGGCGACATTTGGGTCGTCGGAATGCGTTCGCCGGTGAACGCGGTGTACCCTAGTGTTCTGTACTGTCTTGATGTGTGTGTGTTAGCGTTCCTGGATCGGATTCCCTCTCCTGTGGATGAGAGGAGGGGTAGAGGAGAAGGGATCAACCTATTTTGGGTTTGTTATATCCAAAGTAATCTTTACCGCAATATTTTCAGGAAATCACTAGAACTTAATTGTTTACTCTCCATAATATTTAACGCTAAGTTAGCTAGCTACATTTGTAGATTAATTTTGAAAGCTCTCGTTTGTTTTTAGTACTTAAAGTTGACGTTGAGTAGCACAATCGTGTGAGATGTCATCTTTTGTCCCCATCGATGTGTACAATATAGTATACGTCCCCATCTCGGAAACTCAAGGTTTATTTAGTTGCATAATTGAACGTCGTTCAGACGATCGTGTTTTTAGTATTGTCCTCTTGTTGACACAGTGTGCATTTAACATTATCATATTTTTAGTTTGGTATCAATTATTTTTAAATGTGTCATATTAAATAATATATTTCTTATATTTTTGGTTAACTTTTTAGAAAGGACAGGTAAGCAAAAGAACGTTCTTATGTATATGATCATACATATAATTATATAGTATAATTAAATACGGTATATTTAACTTTGGTATATAAGTTCGTTTCATCAAGTTAGCTTCAAAAATTTTAACAGAAATTGGATTTAGATATGTTTTACAAACAAAAGTATTTATCATAAAATAAAGTTTTGAGCTTACAACTGGCTATGGTCATAAGGAAAGATATGACTGATTTGATATACTTACCTTAGCAATAATGTTTCTGGTTACTAGGCTGGGGTATTTCGATATATTTATACTGATTTTACCGGTTCGTCACTGACTCAGGACCGTGCTTTGTGGCATTGGGGTTGGCCTTTTCCAGCAGTGGACTTGTTAAAAATTATAATGATGATGATGACGATGATATGGATCTTACGCCGTCAATCGCTTCTCAATTTCGTTTCGATAAAGTTGGCAGTTAGCACTTAGGAAATAACTTATTATACGTATACTTATATCATAAACTATTATTACTAGTAATTTATAATTTAAAGCAATATTTAGTTAAATTAAACAAATAATTGCTCAATTACTAGTAATACTGAGAAGAGATCCTTTTTGGGATTTTCCGCATGTGTTTTGTTTTGTCCACGATACGCATACTATTTCACTGCCAGGGAATTTATTATGTACCTACATGATTCACTGTAAATTAAAAATAAATAGATACAAGAAAAAATAAGAAGTCACATTATATACAAATAATCAGCAACGTTTAGAAGCACATTTTTCATGAACGATAATGCAATGCTTATGAGGTCAAAGTTGTACGTTACTGATTGTGGATCTTGTTTAGTAGGCCGAATATATCAATGTTTATTGGAACATCTAAATGTAATATATAAATAATTTATCATCTTCATATTTCGGCACAAAAACTTTTTATTTAGATTATTTACTAAGTTCTTTTTATTGGCCAACGTACTCGTGTGCGAAAATGATTACCCAATAGGTTACCAGGCATAACAAGTTCAAATGTTTGTAAAAGTTTTAATTTATTTAACATTGAATGTTTACAAAGCTATATGGCTATAATAACTATATACACCGGATAGATGCATGATGTTACATCATGCATTTATCCGGTATAACGGGTCCATCATTATCTATTAATCTATACATAGGTACATATAAATAAAATTGAAGTGTCTGTCTGTAATATCGAAATAAATGCCTTTTTATTGAGCTGAGAGGGTTATTTGCATGCCGGTATAACATGAGTAGTCAATTTAAAAATTTTGTCTGTCTGTCTGACAGGGCTAATTTTTGGAACTGTTGAATCAATTGCATAGGTAAAAAGCATTGCCAGTAGTGATTTAGGCTAAATTTAATCAGAAAAGAAGATTTCAGCTTGAAGATTTTTCCGAAAATTCGAAAAATTGATAGAATAAATGGTCTTTAATTATCTTAAATCTTACAAGCGAATCCGGGGCGGATCGATAGTATTTAACAAAAATTACATTAATAGTGCTAGCTATATACGAGTACTAGATGTAATTAAAGAGTTTATATTGCTTGCGTCTGCGTATATTAACATGTTGTTTGACAGAATGTGATGATTACCTAAATGTAAAATTGGTCCATGATTAAGTCCTCTAACCTTTGAGTTATAATGTGTACGTAGTACATTATAACTCAATGCCTCTAACATGTATTTTAGGTTTTGGGTATGTGTCATAAAAGTGTATAGAAAAATTAGCAGAAAACATAGTCATCAATCATCAAGATTTCCTGGTAATTTCTCTTCTTCCTAATTCCTATGGAATAAGTAGATACTTTGACGGTTCGATTCCACGGATTTTTATTTAATTTATGTTAATTATATATAAGTTTCGAAAGCTGTTGCGGTTTCAAATTAAATAGTAAGTATTTACGTGATGTCCATTTTAAGTTTATATTCTATATTTGCATTTTTATAACATAAGATTTAGCAAGTTTTTAGTTTAGTTTTTTTTTTGCTAAACCCTTGTGTCATTATTTTTTTTTCTATTTACAGAGAACTACATAATGCGAATTATTTTGTTTTTGGGTTTAACAAGCTTGATGCATCTTGGTCAGACCGAAACAGAAATACGGCAACCTGGGTAATATTGTTTTATTTAACAGTTTATTAAAAAAATAACTTTAAATTCAAACATTTGTGATAAATGTCCGTCCGTCCGGCCGTCTAACTGTTCGTCTGTCAAGACCCTTTTTCTCAGAAACACGTCGAGAGAGGTATCAAGTTGAAATTAATATTAAATGCCTACTACGGTCTTAAACACTTGACCTAGAAGCATAAAATATGGAAAGAAGCAAGGCCTCACAGCGCAATTAAAGGAAAAGATCTGAACTTCGTTAATTTGTAGTCATGCAATGTAATTTTTTCCCTTTACAAACTTACATTTGCAATTGGAGCTAGATTTCTTTGACATGGTAGAGCCACGCTGCACATATATTTTGGTTGCAGTACCAATTGGTTGGCTCGACCGGGGAAGGACCACGCTCTCAGAGAATACCAGCGTAAAATAGCAGCTTAATACTGCTGTTTCGTATGGTGAGCGAAGAGAACCGGATACCCGTTTTACTGGAAACAAGGCATTCCATCTTAGTCCTCAGGGGCGACAACGCATCTGCATTTTAATTCTCAATTGAAGATAGATGTGGATATCTACGGATACCAGTATCCACTTACCATTAGGTGAACTGCGTGCTCGTTTGTCACGCTTTTCTATAAAAAAAAATTGGAACATTGACTATGACCGAAGAAGGGAAACATTTTCTTTTACTGTAAAATCTTCAATCCGGTGCTTACCTTAGCTATTATTCCGGAGGATGCACTATCTACATGCCTACATAAGTATACGGAACGCTCAGGGTGCGAGTCCTACTCGCATATAACACAATATGATATAAAAACACAATTTTTCTGTAAATGTACTACTTTCTCGCAAATCCAAGAATATAAGCTTCAGCAATGACGTCTTCATGTTTACAGATATAATATTCTCGCCTGTAGTCTAGTCTTCCAAATCTTAATTCCATTCATATTATGCCGATGTTAGGCAATCTTTCGCGGTACGTTTTTTGTCATGACTACATTGTGAAATTTATTGTCGCCAGCAATTTTTCTCGATCTCCATGTCGGATCGGTAATTTGAAAATGCAGAATATTTTATAATTAAATTTAATAATAAATTAATGCGGTTGTTCAAAATGATTAAGTGATAATTTTTTATATTAATTGTAAAAAGTTTAGACATAAATAAAATTTAAGTGTCGGTCTGTAGGTAATATTAACATAACTGGCTTTTATTTAGCTCAGGGCACAGACTAATATGATGCTTACGCATGTTCATGGGTTTATTTGCCATTAAGAAATTATATTTTCTGTTTCTGTCTATATTAAAATTGTCTCTTACAGAAACAATTTTACACAACAGTAGGCGACAAGGAGCTAATGATGAAGTAGTTTTGCACCTTTAAAGTATTTAGTTTAGTTTAAATAGGGCCCCAATTTCATTTATGCCCCAGGCCCTTGGTTGAATGACTGAAACGATTGTGGTGAAACTTTACGAACAGATAGAAAGCAATGCCTGGTGGATAAGGCTACATTTTATTCGAAAAACATTAATACTTTAAAAAAAAACGATAAATAATGAAATAAATGATCTTTGAATATCTTAAAATTAAATAACGCCACATTAATAAATCCTTTCCAGGGTCACTGTTTAAATGTATGACTCTTTTTTTTTCATTCCAGAAGTAAGAATGATGAAGAACAAAATTTACTAGTTAATGCCCTCAACGAATTCGGATTTAATTTACTAACAAAAATGATGAAACAATATCCCAACGAGAACATAGTTATTTCTCCGGCGAGTATATCATGTGAGTTTTGAGTATAAATTATTTTACTGAAAACTACTTTAACTGTAACATTAACTTATATAAACTGTATAAAAAATTAATATGGCAACGCTAACGCTGTATCATCACCAATGACTTTGTACCTATTCGGTGCACTTGGTATTTTTAAGTTATTTTTCCACTTTTAAGTAAATTATCCATACAAAGTTTCATTGGACAAATCGTACTAATTTTCTCTCAACACAGTTCTTGGCGACTAACATAGGCATTCTAGTTATTTTATTTCACGTAATCTTCGCTAGTAATCTAGAATTCCCCTGGCGTATAAATGCCTGGGAGACTTTAAGAGGCAGAGAATATATATATATATATATATATATATATATATATATATATATATATATATATATATATATATATATATATTATACTCATTATGTATTATTCAATAGGTCTGCTTGCTATGACTCTTCTGGGGAGCGTGGGGAGGTCGTATGACGAACTCGCCAAGGCGCTTGGGTTTTCTGAAGGTAAGCGAAACAATGAGTTGGCTACACCGGTACACTTCCGCTATATTTCCCTAGGCCTTCTATTAAAACATTAAAAAATCGGTAAAGTACCTACTAACTTTATTTGCAGAATTAGAATTCCGCAAATATTTTTCTATCCGATTATTTGGTGATTATAGTAGACAATAGCAATTTTAAGCCTTTCATTATTTCATAATAAAAATACATTATCTTTATTTATATAATTCTTCTGTCCGTGTGTATGTAACTAAACTTCTAAACAGCTGAACTGATTTTGATGACATTTTGTGTGTGTGTGTGTGATTAAGTTGATTCGAGGATGGTTTACATTCACAACTGAACCCGGTAGATGGCGCTGTTGTTGAGATCCGATAATCACCTGTGCGAACCCGCGGCGGATCGCTAGTTTACTTCATATATGTATATTGTTCAATTTAGTGTTAAGTTTTAGAATGTCACCTTTATAAAAGACGTACGCAAATATTATCATAATAACAAATTTGTGTAAAAACGGTAGTTTTAGACGAATGAAACTCCAAAGTAATTACTATTTGTTGCGAAACATTTTAAATTATATATTTCCCGCAATACATATATCATGTCATTTACCGATTCCCACTTATATTTCTTAACTAAAAAATAATGATTTCAAATGTTAGGTATCTACATTAAATGAAACTTAATTTTTTTTGTTTTTTTTTTTAATAACAAATTTTTTTTATGATCTTCGTATAATTTTTTTACCTTTCTAGAAATTAGGTACGTAATTTTGGAGGGTCTGTAAAGTTTTTTATAAATCTTAGTTTTGTTAAAAATATATATCTTTTTTAATATCCAAAATCCTTTTATATTTTGTTAATTTATAGATATCTTAACAAATCGACGCAACCACGAAATGTTTGGTGAACTATTGCAACGAGTAAACTCCAATGACTCTTGGAGTAAGACCATGTTAGCCGATGCGGTATTTGTGGACGAGCAGTCTCAACTGCGCGCGGCATACCGATCTTACTTGCATCGGGTCTACAAAGGCGATGTTTTAAGTGTTAATTTCAGAGATGCTGTGAAAGTTAAGGAGATGATTAATAAGTTAGTATTAAATGATTATTCTTTATGTTAAAAAATTCGTATAATAGAAAAGTAAAAGTATCTAAGTCGTTTAAGTAGTACCACAAAAATAATATTAGGTCCTTACATATGAAATCAGCGTTTTGTCGTACTGACCACTTTGATCTGAAATATCTCCTCTTTGGTTAAGAATTCCAAATTCAAATTTATAAATTAATTTAGCTGGTACATTTCAGTTTTGAAAACAGCCATTCATTTGTTTTTCCTCATTATTTTTTTTCTTTGGCGTCGCTTATTACCGCACAATGGAAAACATGAAATATCGGTATATTTACGAGTACGAATTCTACCGTGGCACCAGTGTTGCAGAAACAGCTCGAAGAATTAATTATGTGTACGGTGCTGGTGTCGCAAAAGAAAGCCAAAAACGTACCGTGTTTTTGGTTTCAACGTTTTCGTTCTGGAAATTTCGACCTTCAGAACCAACCCCATGGACGGCCGGAGACCAAAGTGGAAAATGAAGAATTAAAGGCTATTGTGGAAGCGGATCCATCATAAAGCACTTCAGAAATAGCTGCAGCATTCGGGGTAAGTGATAAAACTATTAATTCACTTAAAGCAAATCGGGAAAGTAAAAAAACTTGAATGATGTGTACCTCATGAATTGAGTAAATCGAACTTGCAAACACGCGTCGACTGCTGCTCGACTTTGCTCAACCGACACAATAATTAAGGGATTTTAAATCGAATTATTACTTGTGATGAAAAATGGATACTGTACGATAATCGGAAGCGCTCGTCGCAATGGCTGAACCCTGGAGACCCAGCCAAATCCTGCCGTAAACGAAAATATTGACTCAGAAAAAGTTACTTGTGAGTGTTTGGTGGACTAGCGCCGGTGTCGTTCACTACAGCTTTCTAAAATCTCGCCAAATGATTACGGCGGATATCTATTGTCAGCGACTGCAAACTATGAAGGAAGAACTAGCTGCTAAACAACCGAGATTGGTCAATCGCTCTAGGCCACTCCTGCTTCACGACAACGCAAGACCACACACTGCGCAACAAAGAACCACTAAGTTAGATGAGCTACAATTGGAATGTCTGCGACATTCACCGTACTCCCCGGACCTTGCTCCAACAGATTACCATTTTTTCCGGAATTTGGACAACTTATTACAAGGAAAAAAATTTAACTCCGATGCGGCAGTCCAAACCGCCTTCAAAGAGTTTATTGATTCTCGCCCGCACGGTTTTTTTTAGCAAAGGGATCAATGAACTCCCTATGAGATGGCAAAAGTGCATGGATAATAACGGTGCTTTGATTGATTAAATATATTTTACAAAAAAAAAATTGACTTTATATTCCTCCCGTACAAAACGCCAATTTCATATGTACGGATCGCACTTGCAATCAAGACTTATTGTATAGATTGCAAACGCGTACGTGACGAATGATTAAAAAGTCATTTCAACTCCTAAGTCAATACTCTAAATACTTGATTTCTACTTAAATTGCGATTCAAAATAAACTACTTGTAAAATGGCTGAAGCTGAAAGAGCTCACAAGGAATTCTATTGGAATACTTAAAAATGTCTTGCTTGATGATTTTTATCTAGTCAGTGTGAATTGCAAGCGATCGTGACCTTTATATTTGTTTATAAAGACAGGAACGGTTTGTTACCTTTCAATGCAGGGAAATTACAAATAAGTATCTATTCACCATAATTTGCCTTTACTGCATGCAGTACCTAAGTGTTCAAATTTTCTAAATTTTAAAATGAAAATTATGTGATTACTGATTATATTTGTTATAAGTGACATAAATAATGTACTTAACTAAATTTGATATTTTGTATTTATTTAAATCCGGTATCCGGCCGGATAGCCGTTTGTTATCCGGTATCCGTCCAAATAGACCGAATACCGGATAGTTACCGGATATCCGTTTCATCTCTAATAATTACACTAGATCAAATATTTTTTTATGTTACAATCTAATTTACGTTTACAAACTAGGGTTCATTTAGATTAACCGTAGTATAGTTTAACCTGTTCGTCATCATAAATTCTGTACCTTCTTGTATGAGACAATAATACCTATTTTATTATATTCTAATATGTTTTGATTTTTTCCATTTGTTAACTAATAATTTTAAAGACGCGATTAAAGTAGTTTTAGAATGTTGCTAACATTCTAAAACTACTTAAATCGCCCTCATAAATTAGTAAAAAGAAAAAAATATAGACATAGTAACATTTTTTTTTATTGTTATTGGGTTAAATATCTAAGTTATACAAGGAGTTTTGGCGGGAACTTGACCGGCGGCGGATGGCTGCTCCTGTGTTATTATTTAATTAATAGTTTAATGTAGCTTTTAATATGTAAAAGAGGTGCGATTTTGTGTATTAAATGTATGCGCGTAATTCAATTTATTTCATAAGTGTAATTAGGCCGTAATAGTGTAGTGGCGATTAAAGAATATCCACTACCCCATATCGTACGTGGGTGTCGTAAGAGGCGACAGGGTATTTTCCTGATAACAACTGTAAATAATAAAAAAGCGGTTGCCAACCAGCTTGCCAGGCGTAGTAACTATGGCAAGACCCCCCCCTATGTAGCAATCTACGGGAGAGGCCTATGTTCATCAGTGGACTTGTTATATATGCTGTAATGGATGAATAACCAGTCCAAGTTGCAGAATTGTCTCACTCGGTTGTCTAGTCGTTAAAAATCTATTCTTCAAATTTCTTGAAGCCCGAATATCATCTTGAGGAAATCATATTTCATTTTTAGATGGGTGAGTGAGCAAACAAAAGGGAAATTAGATCAATTCCTAAAACAGTCATTACCAATGAATACCAAAGTAGTATTACTGAGCGCATTGTACTTCAGCGGTCAGTGGGCCAACTCTTTTATACCTGAACATACGAGAAAGTACGTACTCACTTCAATATAACATAATATTATGACAGTGTATTATAATTATTACCGAACATAAATAAAATCTCATTTAAAAAAAATTGCAGAATGCCATTTACGCGAGTAAATGATACAATTACTGCAGACCTCATGTTGAACTTGGGAAAATTCGACTATATATTTTCGGTAAAAGATGGTATGTAATTTTTTTAGTATTTCTATACATATGCAATGATGGCGTATGTAGGAAATTTTCGCGTGGCCTGTTGTATAAGAAGCGCACTAATTTCGGCAATTTGTGGCTCCGAATACATACTTGTTACCCACAGGCAAACTTAAGCCTTTTTAATTGTACCATATATAAGTGTCCACTGTTCAAAATTAATTTGCCAAATAAAGGTTGCCAGATAGTCGTTTGAGTTTACCCGACAGTAGATTCATATCCTTCTCTTGTAACATAAACAAAATCTTTTGATAACTTACAAGCTCAGACCAACAAATGGTCGATGCGCTGGGTCTGGATTCTGGAGCATCTATAGGAGGCCACAAAATCTTCTGGGCCTGCCCCTAAACCGTCTCCTTTACCTAACACCAGTGATGAGATGGAGTGATGGTTTTTCTTATGCCACCAGCTAATGGAAAATCTCGCTAATAGCTTATCTATAAAATAACTCAACCATAGTGACACTAAATAGCTTAAAGGTTTTTCTTTAATAAGGGATAGTAAAAAGAAACAAAAGAAGATATTTGAACTTATACACATAAGAAATTTGAATTTATTTCATTACAGGACTGCATATGATTGCGTTTCCATACAACGACAGTGTGACTACAATGTACGTACTTAAACCCCGGCTGCCCGAAGAATCAAGTTTGTATGATTTAATGGGGCGCTTAGATTACTTTCAAATTGACAACTTAATCAATCAAATGACACGAGTAGACACAGTAGTGAGATTTCCGAAGATGAATATCAAAAGTGATGTCAATTTAGAATCGCCACTAAAAGAACTCGGCATAAAATCGATTTTTAATCCAAATGAAGCAAACTTCGCTCTCATGATAGATACTAATACAGTAGGTAACAAAACACAAGATGAATTAATATCAAGGATAAACAATAGAGATGTAGAACCAAAAGGACTTAAGAGTATTGTTAATAGCCTTATGAACCCAGGTGTCTATATAGATTCCGTAATGCATGAAGTGAAGTTGAAAATCGATGGTAAGCATTTACTTAAAACTTGATTTTTCCAGGCGGCTTTCCGTTCAGATGGTCTACTAAGAGAAATAACGTAAAATGTTAAAAGCAGATAAAAGTGTAGGTAGTAGTAATTTTGGCAAATCCCGATTTGAAAATCTTTACCAACATTGTATCGTTCATATTGTAAAAAGGACTCAGAAATTTTAATATTTTATTAAAAATATTACCTTCTTTTACCAAGGTTTCACATCGATCTCTTATATCGCGAATGAATGGCATAGTTCTCAAAAACGTTAATGCAAAAATAGAAATCCAGTTTGGAACACGATTACACATAGATTCGGAGTTAGATTAATAAGCCTCGGAATATGCCATGTACAGACCGTGTTATCGACTTGATGCCTGATGCGCAAGTACTTATACAATAGCGTCTTGAAGTATGAAAGGTACTGATTATGTGCCAAGGCCTAGGTTATAGGTATTGTTTATGTCTGCTTCACTAAGGTCATAGTTACTGTGACTTAAATATGTCATTGTAGTTTTATCAATGATGTTGAATGAAGTCAAGGTTCAATAACCCCTATAACCTGTGTACTACAGATAAATTTGGTGATTTATTACAGAGTACGGTACTGAGGCAGTAGCAGCCACAAGCGGTATACTAGCAAGGTCATCTGAGCTATTCTACGCAGATTCTCCATTTTATATGTTCATAAGAAATGAAAAAACCAAACTTATCACTTTTAGTGCAGTTGTGTTTGATCCCACGGTTTAACTTAAGATATTTAGTAGATATAAATAATAAATATATTTTTTTAAACTTACGTATTTTATTCTTATTAAAAATAAACAAAAAAAATGATTCATTGCCCCAGAACACAGAGCATCACGGGCCACCAGCTGACCGGAGGGGAGATGAAATAGCGTTTTTCCCAGATACAGACCTGTCTGTCATTTACTGCGGGAGGAAATCTGCGAACTCAAAAACCATTGTCTGTCACTACGAAACGTACCTAGATAGCAATAATGTGATTAATAATTACCTATATTAGAGCAAGATCCCAGGGCCACCAAACGTCACTTATTTTCTGACGACCGAAATACTATGATATTAAATACTATGATCGCATGCCTACGTGCTAGCTTGTACAGAGGGCCATTCTCCAGGTATCAGGTAATCAAGGTTTTTTAAAAACATTACTCACCTCACGTTAATTCTCCCAGCTGATTTTTACGTATATGTTAGATAATATCGTTAAAAATCAGTCATCAATACCTCCAGACAATTTCCGTCGGCAGTATCGCTTTGTAGACGCTTTTTACCTGCTAACTTGGCCAGAGGGTCATTTTCCAAGTATCAGATACTCAAGGTACGTAAAAAATATTCCCACCTCAAGTTAATTCTCCCTGCTGATTTTTAAATAAATGTTTGATAATATCGTTAAAAATCAGTCATTAATATTCCCAGACAATTTTCGTCGGCAGTATCGCTTTGCAGACGCTTTAAAGCTGTCAAAAAATTTACAAAATTTCACCTAAGTATATTCTGAAGCTCCATGTTTATATATGTTAGTCAGACAACGATTTTAAAATGTTTTACAAGAAGGCAGACCGATCCAAAGGGTCAATCATCCTCTAGATATTAATACATGTCTCATTCACGTTCATACGCACAGATAATGCCCTTGCGCTCAATACCCACAGAGGCATTAAAATTGGGTCTAGGGTAACGTAACGTAATGGGTAGTTTTGATGATGATGATACCGCTACCGATGATGTAGTTGCAATTTGTTTGCGCTTAGTGTTGTAACGATATGATCTCAGATCAATGCCACCACTGGCTTGAAATCTTCCATCCACATCTCCGTTAATTGCCAAGTAATCAAATCGGTTGATGATGGAATCGGTAGAGATATCTTGTGTGAGAGTGCGCAAACAAGCTTTATTATGCATTGATGTCGGTGATAAGTATAAAACAACGTTGATCAGTGACATAACTACAAAACTTTTTTACTTGTGCGACTAAAGTCGGCTGCCTACCTCTAACTCCGCAAATGGCTCGTCTTCACTGAGCAACTCTACTTAATTTAACACACCAATCGCGCCGTTCACTTTGTCATCCTCCACGTCAATGTTAGTCGTAATCATGAAAGGGTAACCGACTGCAAGCGGAATCTTATAAGACAGTCTACCTAACTCGACGACACTCATTTTGTGAAGCTTTTTAGTCCATTATCCGATATCCAGTGTGATTCTTGTAGCCGACTAAAGTGTCGTCGGCGAAGCTGTATGTCTCTGTCACGATAGCACTGCTGTTGTATGAGTCCACGCTGAGATTGATGTTGATATTGAACGCCTGATCATCGTCCAATGAGGGCTAATAATTTTCTGCTCACCAGATGTCGCTAGTTGTCACTGAGGTAAAGTTTTTTTGTTACACAATGTAATTTAATTAGAAGTTGGTTTTAATAAAAGTTTACCAGTTTGTAAAGTATTATATTAATACATAAAACAATGCGTCAGTGGTTTGCTCTTTAATTTTTTGCACATTTTTAACTTTTTTTTTCTACTTTTATGGATATCTGTGGTTGGTTTATTTATTTTAATGTTATTAATTTAAAATATAGCTAATAGTACAAAAAGAGACAATAACTTTTACATTTTCCGAATCAATTAACTTCCCCGCTATGAAATCTGTCAAATATTATACCTTACTTTCTAGTGGCGCCGCCCAGGTGGCAGAAAAATTCTTGGATGGCCTCATTGACGCGGTAGCTGATGCACCATTGTGTCCACCTCGACGGTTACATTAATGACTTGTCCAATGATAGCGTAGCTGCCGCCGTAACGCAACCAACGTATCTGCATGAATAGTAGACGCGGTGATACTAGACATGCACTGATTGGATAAAATTGAATTTAAAACCGAATGGATTGTCGACAAAAGTAGTAGTAAAACGTGCATGTTCATAGTCAGGAATCGCACACAGTCCATGTCTATACAGTCCGACGTTGATATAGAAGCAATGACATCATCCACTTGCAAAGGCTAGGCTGCCACAGCTTTACAGCTTCAGTGACCGCTGAGTTAACTTAGGGGTCAGCCAGCGCAGAGTCTACATCACCTGAAGATGCGTCGTGTAGAGGCGAAACACGTGTCGTATTGTCGTCAGTGGTATGTCTTTCCTAGTGTAGTGGTGTTGGGAGTAGTGGTGCTAGGATTAGTGGTGACGGGGATAGTGCATGCAATTGAGGGCAGGAGGTGCTCTTCAAATTAGGTGAGACACAACAAGATTTTAATTATTTCAATGCAGCTTCGGCAGCCAAAATTGCATGGGGGTGCTTGAGATAAGCCCCCTTTACCCCCACATTGACAGACTCCTCAAATTCAGGCGACTTGATTCTAAGCCCAACCCAAGGGCGGACTTATTGTCATGAGGCCAGTCAACCCAAAGAGTGGTGATAATTTGACGTAGGTCTAGCAATATAGAGTAAAAAAATAAAATAAAGTGGTACATATTTGAAAACAATATACATATACATTTTTCAGATAAATAAAATATACAAATATAACCTATATATACTTAAATACACATAAATTTATACATATATAATTAGTAAATTCAAATAACTAAATATGGTATACTTACAAAGACCGAAAATAAATGTTATAGAGTTATTGAGAAATAAATGTTTTTGAAAAGGCATTCCAGCTTGTTTAGAAGATCTTGGGACAGAACTAGGTGAATCTGCATAATCAATGATGTGTAATATGAGCGATTGGATAAGCATGATATTAGATTTTGTGCGAAGAAAATGTTTTAAATGATTTATGTAACAACTAGCTGTTCCCCGCGACTTCGCCCGCGTGTTTTTTGGTGTTTTAATTTTTTTGCGCGGTACCCTAATTCTTTTTTTAAAATAAAAGTAGCCTAAGTTACTCCTTGTGACATTAGCTAACTGCCAGTAAAAATCCCGTCAAAATCAGTCCAGCCGTTTCGGAGATTAGCCGGAACAAACAGACAGACAGACGGACAGACAGACAGACAGACGGACAGACAGACAGACAGACAAAAACTTTAAAAATTGTATTTTTGGTATTAGTACTGTATATACTTTCATATGCATTTATTATTTAGCTGTAATTTTGACATTACAAACAGACAGTTCAATTTTATTTATTTGTATAGATGTATAGATGACTTTACAACTCACTTCTGTAACTGCAGTTCCATTATTCAGCATGGTGTCAATGTGTAAGTTAAGATTTTTCAGAATTACTAAACAAAATTATAATACTATTATTATAAATAGTCTGCAAGATTAATCTTAGCAAGCAACCTTGACGTACCCACCATTAAAATTTCGCATTTCAAAGGATTGACCAAAACTCTATATAAGTAGACCAATCTTTGATAGCTAATAAGTTATTGTTTAGTTTTTTAATCGGATTATGGACATCCCCAATTTCAGCTTGTACATATAGCTGAATGTCATCAGCATATAAATAGTATGAGCAATCAAAATTGGGGGTAATAAAGTTTATAAAACTGAAAAAATTATAGAAGTATACTGCCCTGTGGCACACCAGCTTCCACATAAGCCCAAGCTAAGGTCATTTGCCCCACACAGACTGACTGCTGAGTTTACTATCTATTTGAGCAAATATTTATGTAGAAAAACAACATGACTTTCTTGACTTTTTTTCAACTCCAAAAATAAAAATAAAAAGTAATAACCAATATATAAAATTATGCTGAGCAAAGCAAAGACCTCATCTTATTATATACTTGTATATTCATTAATTATAATACTATGATATTATCTATTGTTTCTTAATCTCTCCAATCTAACATTGAGAGTTTCCTTCCACTGTTCCTCTGATATGCTTTGCGCCCATTCTGGAATTGAAGCCTGTGGTAATGCAAAGTTTGCCATTGCCGTCATAACCTGAAAATTATAAAAATAAATATAATTGTTTTCAATTCTAAAATGCAACAGAACAGTTTATACGATGAAAACTTTACCATATAAAAATTTATAATGAACCATTTATAAAGAAGCTGAGGAAGCTTAGAGTTTAGATCTCATCATAAACTTCATTTGCCGTCAAAAAGAACACAATCTGCCACTTTGTCTTGCGTATGTGGACTATAAGAAAGACTTTGACTCCGTCAAAATTTGGGCGGTGCTGCAGTCCCTTCAGTGGTACCAAGTTTACTGTTGGGATATCAAATAGCTGACGTATTTGTACAGTAGGGTTATGATGGTTATCCAAGTACAGAACCAGAATATGAAACCTATCCAACTGCAGAGGTGTAAAACAGTGTGGCGTAATATTCCCAAAACCATTCACAGCTGTATTGGAAGACGTTTTCAAGTTACTAGACTGGAAAGGATATGGTATTAACATCAATGGCGAGTACGTCACTCACCTTTGATTTGCCGACGATATAGTCCTTATGACAGAATCACTGGAGGACTTAAGCACTATGCTCAATGACCTCAATAGTGTCTCCCAAGGATTTACATGATCCTAAGATTTACATGGACAAAACAAAAGTCATGTGTAATGTCCATGTCACACCTATGCCGGTAGTTGTCGGGAGCACTAAGCTCAAAGTTGTGAACAAGTATGTTTACCTGGGACAAATAGTCCGACTAGGTAAATCTTTCCATCGCGTGGTCGATGGACGGACTCAACTCGGATGGGCGGAATTCGGGAGATTACGACACATCTCCGTGTCATGCATACCTCAAAAAAAGATTGTTGTTGCTAGTGATGACCTATGGATCTGAGACGTGGTCCTTCTCTGCTGGTCATATGAGGAAACTCAAGGTCGCTCAGCATGCTATGGAGAGGGCTATGCTGTTCGGGGTTTCTCTACAAGATAGACTTAGAAATGAGGATATCCGCAGTAAAACCAGAGTAACCAACATAGCCAATGGAAATAGTAGGCTGAATTGGCAATGGGCCGGCCATATAGCTCGAAGAACCGACAACTGATGGAGAAGAAAGGTTCTCGAGTGACAGCCTTGTACTGGCAGGCGAAGTGTAGGGTGTCCCCTCACTAGATGGAATGATGACCTGGTAAGACATGCAGGTGGTTCGGGACTATGCTTTGCGACATTCCTTCGGGGAGGCCTATGTTCAGCAGTGGACTTGTTATGGGCTGCAATGATGATGCATGATGATAAACTTCATAGTATTCTAGCAATATGGGTTTGATCTCAGCCGACACCAAGGAAATTGTTAGTTACAATTTTAAGTGCTCATTTTCATGTATGTATCAGTAATGAATAAAAAAAATCGTAAGAAAACCTGTCTAAAGAATAATAAAATTTTAAAGAAATGTGATTAGTAATCTAAGAGATAATAAGTCACATTAAATACTCCTGGTCAAAAGTGATTCTAGTTGCTAATCTTGGTTGCCAAAATCACCCTGAAACTTTGTATATTCATTTTATTAATAATAATTGAGTAGATCTTTTGAACAGTAGTCATTTGAAAGCTCTTACTTTGGGTAGTTAATCTAAAGGTGAGCTAAATCCTGTAACCCTAACCCTAGACCAATATCTGAGAAATTATTGTAAATATCTTTCACCTGTTGGGCTCTTTCATTGTCCATTTCTATAGAATCTGATGGTCTAGGTGTGTTCCACACTTCTCTAACAAGTGATGTTTCTATTGGTTCTATTGGAGGTACATTTTGTATAGGTGCTTGATTCACTTCATCATTCTGTAAAACAAGTGGTAAAATTAAAAATTTTGTACAACTAACTTCAATATAAATATAATTTATTGCTGATTTTTTTAAAACCGCTCAACCAATTTTGATAAAATTTAAATGGGACCACCTGGGAAGTATATCCTTTAAAACAAAAAATAATTTTCCAAATCGGTTCAGGCGTCTCCGAATAATCGGTGTACATACTTAAAAAAAAAGATTTCGACGAATTGTAAACCTCTCCTTTTTGAAGTCGGTTGAAAATAATATAAAATTTAAGGTAATAAGTTAAAATTTAACTATTATATTTTATATTTAATATGTATACAGTGACACAAAATCAAAGTAACTTGCCTGATCATCGTCATCACTGTCAGAAAAATCCATAATCGCTTCATATGGTCCTTGTGGAAGTGGTTGGTAACCAAAATATTCGCTTTGTTCATCATCACTTTCCTCGTGATTGTTACCATTATTGAGATCATGCCTAGGAGGTGGAGATAAATTGTTTGGAGAATTTTCTGGGGGCTCTGGACCGTCGCAAACCATCTTATTTATAACTTATTAATAAATACAAAATAGATGGAGTAACTACTGCTACTGACTAGGATTTTCTAAAAAAAAAATGACAATGACATTGATTATTTATTTACGAAAATCGAAAACTAAAATACAAAGACTAGTAACTGTCCTATCGCAGAGTATCTTTTTATACCACAGAGTACTTTTATATATTATACTGAAATTTCATACCAAAGATGTCCTCAGTCCTCACAGACAACTTAGTGGATACCATAGATAAATATATATGTAGCAAGCTACTAAAATACGAATACGAAATGCAAGTTAGGCTTGGGTTAAAATTTAAAAATATCGAAATATCGATGTTTTCTCAAAAATTATCGACATCTATCGTCGATATTTTTATTATTTAATCGCGATATATCGATACTTATTTAAGGGTGTCGAAATCATAGATAAATATAATATGTAGCAAGCTAGTCGAACTCATATTAATTTCGATATATTAGTCATTGCGTTATGGTGGCACTTCACTTGGCTATTTGTATTTGCGTATTTGCTGTATTTGACAAATAACTTTCATGTGTGGAGAGTATATTTGCCATATTTATTACCGTATTTGCATATTTGGCAAATATAGCCAATAACAAATATGGCTTACCGATCTTCTTTCGGTTTTTCAAGGGTCATCAAAGGAGACAAATAGGCAAATACGCAAATATGCTGGCCACACATGGTCGGGCTCATAAGCGCGAGAACTGTCAACCAGTACGGACGGACCTTTTTTTATTCAATCAATTAGACAATCAATTAAGCTCCACTGTCTCTAATTGTGATTTGTGCCTTCCCCGCCCACTTTGGGCTTCCTCTTGTTTTTTATATTCCGTGAATATTCCTCTTAAATGGGGAGGAGTTGAGTCTTGTGGATATCACTGTTTTTCTTGGTATTACTATTGACGCGAAACTTCAATGGGGTCCCCATATATCTAAATTAGCAAGCAGGCTTAGTTCTGCAGCATATGCTGTAAGAAAGATTAGAAGTCTTACAGATGTTGAGACAGCTAGATTAATGTATTGCATGCCCTAAGCGCAAAGCTCGTAGGTATGTTCTACTAGCGCCTAAAAATCAAGATTCCAACGTATTTTAGTTACTCTCATGGCGTAATGTCTTATGGAATTTTGCTATGGGGTAATGCGACTGATATTGAAGCTGTATTTGTTTTGCAGAAGAGAGCCGTACGAGCGATTTATAACCCAAATTGTAAAGAGCTCCTTTAGAGAAAATTTAAAGAAATAAACATATAAACTTTCGCATTACAATATATTTATGAAAGTGTAATGTATGTACATAAAAACATAAATAGCTTTAATAAGAATAAGGATGTTTATACCTGACGGCACCAGCACCATTGCACGTGCGGCGCCGTTGGTGTAGCTAGACAGAATTCTTGTAAATAACACGTGCTCCGCACACCTGCACCAATGCACCTGCGGTGGCGCCCGTTTAGCTTGTATAAAACTGACGGAGCTGCCGCCATTAGGACAGTCTTGGCTCTGACGTGGAACGGTGCGCTTGTCGTATTCCGTTACTAGTTTATCCTCGACTCGTTGGATAATTAATTCGTGTAAACGAATTAATTATTATTCTTAACTACAAAATCAGTCTCTGTACTATACTCACTATACTTCCTACATACCTTAAACACTAGGAACAAACATAAGCTTGTAAAGCCAGTTACTAGACTCCACAGAATTAGTAATTCATTTATGGCGCAATGTATACGCTTTTACAACAAAATCCAGAACATGTTCAAAGTTTGTCAATAAACAAGTTTAAAAGTTTTATTGAAGAAAAACTGTACAAAAAGCATTATTATAATATCAAGGAATACATGAATAAAAATAACCCCTGGGAATAAGGTGATTGCCACTATGCTGGTTCTATGAAAAATCATTTAAAATTGTATAAAAAAAAATATTGTTAAGTGCAATTATGTTTAAAAAAAAAAGTCCCGCTGGATTTCTTGCTGGTTATTCCCAGGACAGAGGTATCTTCTTAACCAGCAGTAAATAAAAAATGACTTTCAATAAGTATTATGTAGTAATCAATATTGAATAAATATCATTCTATTCTATAGATATATATCGCATCGATATTTTAAGAAAATATTAATATGTGTCCGATATATCGACAAAAATCGATATATCGGTTTATCTTCATTTTCTGCAAGCGTAAAGTAGTGCTATACCCGTAGAGAGAGAATAAATCCCTCTATGGCCACAAACTAGTAAGAAGTGCTAGCGCACTCTATGGCTATATACCGGTATATCCTCGTAGAGTAGAGTAAATCTCTAATATATATACAGTAATCTATGGAGTAAGTAATATGTCCTCTTAGTAGTAGAGTTTTGGCGGGAACTTGACCGGCGACGGATTGCTGCTTATGATTATTGGCTCTGATGGTGATGTGATTCTTAAGATATGGTGTCTAAGCATGAGACCGAAATATCAAAACGTAACTAATAACGTTATGTTATGAAATATCATATCATATCGATAAACCTAAGATCATAACCGTTATCACATATCCAAGCAAAACCAACTAACCATCGTACGAAACGTAAAACGCAAACTGTAACGATATGCCAGCACGGCCCAAAAGTAACCGATGTCCTTTGATATTCGTTGTTTCTCGTTCTAGCGACGGTATCATAAATACGTATGAAAGAGATGAAGCGAATATGGATTTCGTTGCGATGTCTTGATAGTTATCATAAAACGATACACGTAGTGAAATATAATTATAAAGTCCTTAACAATAAGGTCGAATTTTAAATGGTTAAAATTGCCTAATTTTTAAGTTTGTGTAGTTGTGAAAGTTGTCAGATTTAAATGATCTTTAGGGTATTACATACAAGACTTACATTTGTTTGATCACATTATATTTGGTTTAGGCAACTTTTGTTTATGTTTTAGATGGAAAGTTTAGAATTTGATTGTTTTTTTGATTTTTTTCATTTTTTTTCAAAACGTAACAATTACGCACTTGAACTTGGTGGCCTTTCACTATGAAATTATCTGTAAAATTATTAATTTTTGCCGTTGCGTTTGTGCATATATTTGTAACATTTGTTTGCATTTTGTACATTAGTTTTAAAACTTTTCTGCTAGTCCTAAGCCTAGTTAAGTATATGAAGGTAAATCGCTTACTTAAATAATCATTATGTTTACTACTTATGAATACAGTTTAAAAATAGACTTTGAAATCAAATTCTGATCCTACGTCTCACTTTCAAAAAATATGGGTATAAACATTATAGAAATAAATAGGGATAGAAAGAATGTAATTTTCGACATTTATAATACTATATTACTGCATAAATATCATAAATTAAACATTAACATACATGTCTAAATATTACATTTAAGATTATATTAGATCCTCTGACTTCTAAACTAAAATAATCGAAGTAATTCGTAAAATAAATGTGGCACTGGTTCTACAGTTTTCAGTTATGTTTCGGTTGTCGTTTGCGCATTCAGTAGCAAACCTTTACTACTGATATCGATATTTGAAAACGGTTTTCAATAACGATATGAAAACTAAATATCGGTTATGTAACCGATGCAGCTAAAAACTGAAAACGCCCTTGCTTAATGGTGTCTCTTTGCTTAGGCACCTTGAGATATCATCGCCAACTGTCAGCTGTCTGCTGGCTCAAGTTGCCATCAAAATTCCCCAAGGGCTGCACAATGTGACGCATCAACATATTGTGAAGCAGGGTACTATGAAGGATAATTATACATTGTAACCTTGGCTCAGAAGGGCTAGAACCCAGAGTAGTAAAGCCAGTTATTAAAAAAAACCTGTTAGTAGTAGGGATGCTCGATGTTTCAGAAATATCGATAATAACATCGATGTTAGCATCGATAGCTCAACATCTATGTTTGATGTTTAGCCTACTCAAAACATCGATGTTGACCATTATCGATGTTTTTTGTATATGTGTAGATACTTACATATTGTTTCAAAATTATGTGGGTATACACAGTAAGGGAAAAAGTAACAACTAATTAACGTCAATATCAATTTACGTAGAATAGTTATTATGTGACATCCGACAACGACACTACAAACACACACAAGCTAAAGCTTGACACATGCTTTTAGGAATTCTGAATTATTCAAAATTTTAAACCTTCAGAGGAGATGTAAGATTTAGTTGATATTGATTTTGCGGAGTCGCAGTGCTCGCAAGTACCCAATATTCGATTATGGGTTTATTGACATCGATGTTTCGATGTTTGACATGCGGCAACATCGATGTTACAACATCGATGTTTTCATTTTTGACATCTAACGATCATCGACCTTCCCTAGTTAGTAGTCTGTGGTGTCAAAAGTGGCGTAATTATTACGCCTAAGGCCGGCCGCATTTATACGGAAGTCCCTTTCGGGATTCCGTTTCGATATTCCGATTCGGAATCCCGAACGCAGCAAGTCCATATAAAATCTATGACCCGTCACACACATACGGTAGTTTTCCGTTCGAAATTTTGCGGGCAAAACGGCATTCCGTATGTGTGTGGCCGACCCGTTCGGAATTGCGAAACGGAATCTCGAAACGGAATTCCATATGTATCAGGCCGGCCATATACATACAGAATTCCGTTTCAAGATTCCGTTTCGATATTCCGATTCGGAATTCCGAACGCAGCAAGTCCATATAAAATCTATGACCCGCCACACACGTACGGTAGTTTTCCGTTTGATATTTTGCGGGCATAACGGGATTCCGTTTGTGTGTGGCCGACCGTTCGAAATTCCGAAACGGAATCTCGAAACGGAATTCCGTATGTATATGGCGGGCCTGACGGGTCATAGATTTTATATGGACTTAACGCGTTCGGAATTCCGAATCGGAATATCGAAACGGAATCCCGAAACGGAATTCCGTATGTAGGTTGGCGGCCTTAGGGTATTAGGCTCGCCACATACATACGGAATTCCGTTTCGAGATTCCGTTTCGAAATTCCGAACGGATCGGCCACACACATACGGAATCCCGTTTTGTTCGAACGGAAAACTACCGTACGTGTGTGACGGGCCATAGATTTTATATGGCCTTGCTGCGTTCGGGATTCCGAATCGGAATTTCGAAACGGAATCCCGAAACGGAATTCCGTATGTATGAGGCCGGCCTTAGTGTTCTGCGATTACGCCACTTTTAGGGGTGTCCACTATGAAAATACATCGATGTATTTTTTCGATGTGATGCATCGAAACTGTGCATCGATATATTCCGATGCATCGGTTAAAAACATCGATGTTTTTTCAACATCGAGTACTTTTTCTGACTTCAAACAACCGACAATTTTGAATGATCTACTACTCTTACATCAGTACTGTCTGCCCGCACGCCTTTTGTGAGTGTGTATGTGTGTTCAAGGATGTTAGTTCGATAGATAGATATTCTTAATTGCATGACACACAAAGTGTCTTATTCGTAAGAACTAATATATTGTTAACAGACGTAAATATTCATAGTTATTTATTTGTATTATTTATATTTGTATGTTGATGTGTATATATGTATGTATACGTCTGTATGCATATATTTGTATATATGCATAAATAGGAGATATTTCTATAGTATATTTGTTTTATATATTTGTAAAATTAATATATATACAACTTAGTTAATTATCATTTTTATTTTGTTATTATTTTATACTGCTACACCTACGTCAAATTCTCGTGGGTTGACTGGTAGATTTTTTTTTTGTATTATTCCCTTTGTATTCTTTTATATCAAGGAATGCAATAAAGAATAAATAAATTATTATTTATGATCATTCCCTACTACTAAATGGACGGCAGATCTAGAACAAAATTCACGAAAAATGTGTCCCGAGTCAACCTATACAAACGTATTATATATATAATTTTACTTGCGACAATTTATCAGCCTTTTAACTTCAACAAGAGGCTGCATTCTTTTCGCCTTATGAAGCTTCTAGCGAAAAAAATCGGTATGGTTTTTTGTTTTTACAATTAATGTGAATTTTAATTAAATACTACGTATATTGTATCTAAACAAAATATTATTTTTAAATTATTAAATATTAATAGTTTAATATAAATAGTATCGAAAAAATATATAAATAGTTTTGCTCGTTTTGTGATACTGTACGGCAATTTGGAGTGTATTATCGGGCGACAAAACGAAGACTGGCGTTCAATTCGAGCTCTTTTTGCATTTTGGAACTCTTTTGGCTCGGACACTTTTGAGCGCATAGCCGAGGTCCATTTAGTAGTAGGTCAATGTTTATGATATTATTTTAAATGATAAAAAATGATACATTCACAATAAAATACTTACATATGGAATACAACTCCATCTTTTTGTACAACTTTAAGTATTTGACTGCTTTATGCACACGTTAACCGCACCGATTGGCATTTTTCAAAAAACACCTACTTCGGCGGAAATGATTCTTATAGGGATAAAAAAAAATCTAGTGCGTTTATAAAAACGATTCTGTAAGCAGGTTTAATCAACGCACAAGATTTTTAAATCCAATACTTTGGCAGAGGGCAATAATCATGCGAGGCGAGTCCACTGTGTTAATTTTTTTTATAGGATAAGTGTGACAAACGAGCACACAGTCCACTTGATGGTAAGTGGTTGCTGCGGCCCATAGACATCTACATCTATCCTCTGTTACAAATCAAAATGTAGATGCGTTGTCACTCGTTAGGACTAAGATGGAATGCCTCATTTCCAGTAAAAAGGGCCTCCGGCCACCTGCACTCACCAAGCAAAACGCAGAGGTAAACCTCTACTTCACGCTGGTTTTCTGTGAGGTCGTGGAATCAACCCGGTTCGAGCCGGCCCATCCGTACGACAGCAAAAGCTGCCGTGTAGCTCTACCACTGTTTAAAAATATAAATATATATAAATGGTCTAAAGGCGTCAACTCACTTGCCTGCCGCAGGGGCAATCTAGGGTGTAGATGTGGGGATCACCCTTAATTTCCTCCATAATTGTGATGTGTGTATGAAAGCAGAGTTAATTTGCTAAGTCGGCCCTGTGGCTGGGCGGCAGGGGCGCAAGAACTTCTTTGCTCCCTAGATCATAGCTACCGCTGCCACGTGTGTAGCACCATTGGAACAATTTCAATCAGTTCGTTAGTGACTTTCGCGCGGAGCACACTTCACAATAGATATCAATAAAACATGTGAAATTTGGATACTGGTGATAGAAGTGTATAAACAGCGGCTTCTTCACCCATTATCTCCTTTTTGTTTTTTTTTACGGCAGCACCGCAAAAGCAACGTTATTTGAACGTTGTAACGTTTTTAAACGTGGTAGAGTCATGCTGCAGCTTTTAAGGACTGTGTTATGGTTGTAATTATTAATTAATTAGTTGTTTTATCAAAAATATGGGTGTCTATGGGCCACAGTATCTCCTTAACATCAGGTGGACTGTGCTCATTTGTCACCCTTATTCTTTATAAAAAAAGAACCAAGGCTATATTTACAGATTCATTGATATTTCGATATAACTAGCGCCATTCTCAACGCATGTGTCAACCGAGATGTACACTTTCATACTGAACGGCAGGCATGTGTATAGAGAGACAATTCTGATACTGTCCCGATCGCTGTTCATCCTAGATTGCCCAGCGGCATGCAAGTGAGTAGCCGCCTTAAAACCGAGACAGACCAGACGATTTTTTTTCGATTCTATTTAGCACAGTGTTTCCAACCAGCCAATTTCTTGATTTCGCTAAGGACTGACAGCTGCCAAGTAGCACCACCAACAGGTTTAATATTATACCTTCTAAATCAGAGCGCTGTTTTTCTGAGTTAGAAGTTATAATATTAATAGTGATATAAGTATACCCATTTTACCATTGGATGGTTATCATTGATTCGATGTTTTATGAAAATACATCGATACATCGAGTGTATCAATAACTTTCCAAAACATCGGATCGGTTCGATGCATCGTATTGTAAACATCGAGTGAATTCGATGCATCGATGTATATCGAATATCCCTAGCCACTTTTGATTTGTTTATATTACGCTGTTTGTAATATAAACAAGCTAAATATTATCCTTTATAAACTAACCGCAAAAATTGGGTCTTTAAAGTATAAATTTTGTTTATCTCTCATAGTAACTATAGTTGCAGTAATGGCGTGGAGAAGTCATGGGGTAAATAATGCTGATATGATCAAAAATCTAAGAGGTACGACTAATGTTTATACCTATTCCTAGGTCTTACAATAAATTCTGTTGATTTTCTGGGTTAGCTTGGTTAGCTTAAAATTACGTTTGCAAAAATTGATAGTAAGTATTGATTGAATAAAACTACTTTTACGGATTTTATCGCGTTTAATTAACTTATTATTAAACTGTTACAAATAAATAAAATTGCTTTATGTTATTTTACGTTTTCAGCCAATGGAATAATTAAATCTGATGTTGTAGCAAATGCTATGAATGCGGTTGATAGAAAGAATTATTGTCCTTATGCTCCATATCAAGACTCTCCACAATCTATAGGATATTCAGCTACAATTAGTGCTCCACATATGGTAATATTTTACTTATTAAACTTATTACTGTTAGCCCTTATAAAAATAATGTCTATACAATTTATGTGCAATACTTCCCATCAATCTAAAAGTCCAATCCTAAATTATCATACTGCTGAAACATCTTTTTTCTAAGATTAATTTGTGAAATATTGGGCACAAGTAATTGATTTGATGTTAAGAGTATTTTATCCAGGTAACTGGGTATAATAATAGATTTATTTTTCATTAGCCTTTTTTAATTGTGTATTTTTTCACACTTTCTTATTCATTAAGTTTAGTTATATTCTTGTTATATTTATCATCATAATTTCCTTTCTGCCCTCCTCTCTCTCTCACTCTTTTCCAGTTCACAACTTGTCCAATCTTTTTAGAATTTTTAAGAGCTGCTCTTGTGAATGTCTTGGGTTCAAAGTTGTCCCTGCGATAATATTCTGGATCATACAGGTACAATAATATAGACATTAAAAGCAATGCACTTATTAAAGAGTTGCTAGATTAAGCTAGATGGTTGCTGACTTTCTGTTTTTGGGCATCCAAAGATTTGAACATGAATTTTAAAATCATGTCAGCTTTCATCAAATTAGCATCTTTCTGATAAACCACCTCCACTGTGATCTTAACAACGTTGAGGCGTTAGTTAATTTTTTAGGTATGTCATTGCTTTTTCCATCATTGGCATTATTATATCTTGGTTCAGAAAACCCTTGATGATGACCAAATTCTGTTTTAAAAATCTTGCCATTATATAATTTAAATTAGAACATCTTGTCTTGTCCTAAAAATAATAATAAATCGAGATTATTCTTCTGTCATAAATTCTTCTTCAATATGTTTTTCTAGTGTCATTTTTCAAGTTTGATTTTGGACAGATCTTACTATTTTTTGTCTTGTAGCAAATGTTTGGAATTAAATTCTCCTTCCATTTCTGCTTGGATTGGGCTCTCAAAAGCTTCACAGACTTGATTAGCATACTCCTCCTCTTCTTCCAATATCTCAAAGTTATTTAACTCAATGAGACTAAAATCACCATTCATGTTTGTTTATTTGTCATCATTGCCTGCATAACATTGTCATTCTTTTGATTGTAGTCTCTTCTGTTTTTGACTTGGTTTTATACAAGACTAATTATGCTTATGCCATGACCCAGACAAATTTAGCTTGAGCTTTCATGAAATCTGCCTGTTTTTTTAATAACCGACACCCGATTACTTATTACATTCAACATCTGTATCTATAATCTCATCAATATCTATAATCTAAATCTGTATAAACCGCAAATTCCTGTAGATGTTATTTTAAGTATTTTGATGTGACAATGTGAAAACACAAAGAAAATGCTTGCATTTTCCTTACAATTCTAACAGTGCGCAGGTTCCTGAAATTATCTTTTAATATTTTAGAAAATAAGTTGACTCATACTGTTCCTCTTTGAGTATTCCTTTAAAACAATTTTTAATAGTGGTAAAGGATTCAGGTAATTTGTATTCACCAAATTGAAAAGCATCAAGAGCAGCCATCTGAAACACTAATGTCCATTATTTAGATGACATCAAGTAATCTGTGAGCAACTCCTTAGTAAGTCTCCTTAAGATTGGTTTAACTGAAGTTGATATGCGAAGGCTCGAGCTACATTCAATTTTTGATTGTGAAATCTGTAAAAGGTTTTTCTGACTTTGACACCAATTGTATGAGTGGAGTGTAGATGTGTATGAGCTTGAGTTTTGAACGGACAATGCGTGCAAGGTGCACACGTTATGCTTTAAGCAAGTTTTGAAAAAAAAAGTTTCTACCTCACACAGAGTCATATTGTTGATTTTATTTTGATTTATTTATAATTTCTAGAGAACTTTAATAACTTAATATGTTAACATACTGTTCCTTAACATTAATTTGTTAATGTTACAATATAAGCAAGTAAAATATTTTCTTTGATCTTGTTTGCAGCATGCACATGCCTTAGAAATATTGAAACATCAGCTAATTCCTGGAGAGAAAGCCCTGGATGTAGGTTCTGGTTCAGGTTACCTAACAGCTTGCATGGCCATTATGCTTGGGGAGACAGGGAGGGTTATAGGGATTGATCATATCTCAGAACTTGTGGCACTTGCTACAAAAAACATTCAAAATGGCAATCCAGATTTACTGACTTCAGGAAGAATTAAACTTATTGGTAAGAATGCACTTTCAGTATGCACAATTTTGGTTGTAATAGATAATATTATATTAACTTAAATTTATTAATATTATTATCCATAAATCTCTGCAGTAACTTAATGCCTAGACATCATAGATTTTTGTAACTTTCATGTTGGTCTAGTAGTTGTAATGCGACTGTTGATCATAAATGTTCCCGGATTCGAATCCCGAATTGGTAAAAATGAGACTAAGCAGCCCGTAGTCACGTAGTTGGTGGTATTTCACCACCGTGCATGGGTAAGCACGCAAAATCGTTGGTCCTGCGCCTGATCTCTCTTCTGTTGTATCGAATTATTATATTATTGTCTCATCGGTCTATGAGAGTGAGAGAATAGAGAGTGTGCCTGTGCTATAAATCTGTTCTATGTAATATAGTCTCAATGGAGACTAACCATCTGAATTGTTAAATAACTCACCCAAAATAATAAATAAAATAATAATAAATAATAAAATCATAAATAATTTAAATCTATATCTATACAAATAAATAAAATTGAAGTGTCTGTTTGTAATGTCAAAATTACAGTTTTTCACTAAACGCATATGAAAGTAAATACGGTACTTATAACTAAAATACAATTTTTAAAATTTTTGTCTGTCTGTCTGTCTGATTGATGAAACGGCTGGACTGATTTTGATGGGACTTTCACTGGCAGATAGCTGATTTCATAAGGAGTAACTTAGGCTACTTTTATTTTAGAAAAATAATTAGGGTTCCACGCGAAACCATAAAAACCCTAACACGCGAACGAAGTCGCGGGGAACAGCTAGTAATACATAATATGTATTACCAATAAATATTACGATAACGCTTTAAAACAAACCTCCTGTATATACGATGCATGAGCAATGCATCCTGCAATAGCAGATCATTCACTTAATAAATAATAAGTGTAATTTTTTACTTCACCCTCATATTTATTATTGTCGGCGATATCGGTACACGGTAAAGTTTCTATAAACTTATGATTGTACCGTAATTTAATGTGTAATTAATAAATGTAATGTATGAAATAAATAAATAAAAATAAATAATAAAAAAAGCTCGTTACTTTAAAAGACAACTAACTTAAAATGACTCGCTGACTGTTATGGTCAGTTTGCTTGTTTTATTTTAAATTAAAAAGTACTACTAAAACTTAATTTTGAAAATATAAAATAGTTTATTTACAGTAAATATTTATACTTAATTAACTTAATCATATAGCAAACAACATAAATATCATTATTACTCCCACTCCCAAATCACCTCATCACCAAAAATAATATAACCTGGCTCTGATTTTAGCTAGATGAGATAATGTTTTTCAGCTGGCGATGGTCGTGTAGGATATCCCGAAGAAGCCCCCTACAATGCTATTCATGTCGGAGCAGCAGCACCAACATTGCCCCAAGCTGTAAGTCTTACAAAAGTTATTCACTAGCAACTTGCGAACAATTAAAACAAGTCGCTAACTAAAATCTTGATATCACAGGAAATATGAATACTAGGCTAGTGAAATAAAAACTGTGTGAGCCATAATATTTAGTAATTTAAAAAAATTGTGTAAAGTATGGAAATTGTTATTGAGTAATGATAAAAAAGGAAAAACTAAAATTTTCATAAAATTTGAATTAATTATATTTGATTAGAATTTGTTAACTGTGTAGTGGCGGTGTAAGAATATCCACTACCCCATATCGTCTCAAGGGTGTCGTAAGAGGCGACTGAGGGAAAATGAAACTGAGGGAGATGGGCAGCAACATCTTCCTGATAACAACACAAAATTATACTGCTGCCAACCCGCTTGCCAAGCATCTCAACTATGAGGGAGACCTATATTCAGCACTAGATTTTTATAGGCTGTAATGGACGATAGATTGGAATTTGTATATAGGCATTTTTTAACAGAAAGTGTTTAATGTCGCTCACACTCGACATAGTTGTGATGATAGAATACGGTTTTATACGTGGTACAGCCATGCTGCCGCTATATTATGGTTGTAGCACGATTGGGTCAGCTCGACCGGGGAAGGACCATGCTCTCACAGAATACCAGCGTCAAATAGCAGCTTAACGCTGCTGTGTTTCGTATGGTGAGTGTAGAGAACCGGAGACCCTTTTTACCGGAAACGAGGCATTCCATCTTAGTCCCCACGGGTGACAACGCATCTGCACTTTGATTCTTAATCCGCTAAAAATTTACCGCTAAAAAGAACCCCTTTGTCGTATCTCCTCAGTTTCAAGGTACTCCCCTTGTTGCCTCAGCCAGTATCGGAATCCTCGGCGTCGACATATCGAGTAGCGTGCAGTTTCGTGGTCACTTGGAAGAGAAGGCCAAATTGGCCTCTAAAAAGCTTGGCGTGCTCAGCAGAGCGGGACAGTATTTCATGCCGGCTCAACGCCTGCAACTTTACAAGGCGCAGGTTCGGCCTCACATGGAATACTGTTCCCATCTCTGGGCTGGGGCTCCCCAGTGCCAGCTTCTTCCACTTGACCGCATCCAGCGCAGAGCGGCTCGAATCGTCGACGACCGAGTCCTTTCCGATCGGCTCGACTCATTGGCACTGCGAAGAGATGTTGCATCTCTTAGCATTTTCTTTCGCATTTACCATGGGGAGTGCTCTGAGGAATTGTTCGGATTAATCCCAGCCGCCAAATTTCACGAACGCACATCGCGGCAGAACTCCCGGTACCATCCACACCATCTGGATGATTGGCGGTCCACCACTGTGCGATTTAGAAGATGTTTTCTTCCTCGCACAACTTCCTTGTGGAATAGTTTACCACCAGCGATTTTTCCGGACCGATACGACTTAGGGACCTTCAAGAAAAGAGCCTACTCCTTTTTAAAAGGCCGGCAACGCATCTGCAATTCCCCTGGTGTTGCGGTTGTTCATGGGCGGCGGTAGTCACTTACCATCAGGTGAGCCGCATGCTCGTTTGCCCCCTCTCCTATAAAAAAAAAAAAAAAAAAAAAAAAAATAATCGAAGATAGATGTAGATGTCTATGAGCTACAGCAACCACTTACCATCAGGTGGACTGTGTGCTCGTTTGTCACCCTTATCCTATAAAAAAAAATACGGACAGGATCCACTTTTTATACAATGTATGAAGAATAGTCAATATATCTTTGTCGACTACACAACAAGTTGTCTCACGGTTCTGGAAAACTGTATCCAACATACCATCACCATTATCATCATTACTGCCCATCATAAGTTGTCACTGCTGAACAAAGGCAAGAAGCCAAGAATAACACAAAGCATGGTTCTGACACACCTGCAACTAAACTGAAGAATAAGAATGATAAAAGGCATACAGAGTACATACAGAATATCAGGAGAGCGATATAAACATGCCCGCATTTAAAAAAAGTTTAACACAGCAAAGCTGCACTGAGTGCACCCACATAACATGGAGTGCTAAAAGATTTAAGCAATCCTAAATGACTCCATTGCTCCATTTGTGATTAGCTTGGGCGAGGATAGCGTTTGATATTTAACAATGCCTGTAGCTATGCCACTAGGATAGGGTACCACTTTCTCAAGAGGATAATTTCAAAATGGCCAGCTATCTGTTGGTTACTTTAGCTGATCGACGGATACTAATCGACAAAACGTTGTCCAATCATCGATCTACAATTAATCGATGCGGTACAAAACGTTTTCAGAAGAGGACGCGTTATGTTATGTTACCAGTACGCTCTTACTCGTATTATTATTACGGAGACGCAAACGCAGAAGACTCTGGATGCAACCATTTTTTAAGACTAGAGATAACTTAAATTCATCTAGACGACATTTTAAATAGCTTCGGTGGAGCGGGGAGGGTTCTCGAATGTTCAAGCAGCTCGATCGACGTCGACTAATTCATTCTACCATCGATCGATTACTGTAGTAGATACTGTCGATTGCCGTCGACTAATCCATTCCACCATTTTATCGACGATCGATCGATCGGTGTGCTAACACCCTATATTCCAATCTAATCTGACTGCCCGAATAGTTTTTAACTCTAAAAGCGCATGCTCACCTTATAGAGAATATATATAAATATATGGATACTAACATTAATATAACTTTTATTTATAATAGCTAATAGATCAGCTAAAACCTGGAGGACGTCTTATTGTGCCGGTGGGACCTGAGGGGGGTGATCAACATCTTACTCAGGTATTTACTTTATACTATCCATTACTTTCAAACCTGAGGAGGCGGGTTGGTGATTGTGATATTTGGGCAACATTTATTGGATGGATTTTCCGTAATCATTCAGCAACGGTTGCCAGACTTGCTAAGCCTAAATTAATAATGTACTCAGTTATATTTATTAAAAAAAAGTTGTTGATTTATTTTCCCGCTATTTAAATTTTTTTTTGTTATTGCTGTTTGTGACTGAAAAAAAAATCGCACCTTCATACATTTAAAAGTTCTGTTTTTTTTACTTTTTTCTTAATTCACATTTGGAAAATGAACAATCGAGCGATTTGTCGCCGTGGTATTATTTTTAACAGGATTTTTAAATATGTAATGGAATAAACAATATTGAATGAGGGAGGAATCCACGACTTTTTCTGCCAGGGCGGCGCCACTTAAAAGTGAGGTATAATAAAAAAAAGCAAACTACTGAGGTATTGTTTTGTGTGTTAATTTAATACACTTAAAACTGATTAAAACTGATATTAAAAACTAACTTCTCAATTAAATGACATTTTATAACAAAAAACTACCTCAGTGACAACTAGCGACATCTGGTGAACAGAAAATTATTAGCCCTCATTGAGTAATTTTAAGATGCTTCAAAAGGTAGGCATCAGCCGTTTGTTTTAGGCAAGAATCATTTCATGAATAGCATGTGAAAAATAAATATGAAAGAATTTATCATACATCGCATATGCTGCATTTATTCATACAGGCTGTGTTCCGATATACACTGTGACCACTGTAAGGTGTGACGTCAGTATACTGTGAACCCGTTCCTTTTTAGTTTGCTATACTGGTGACTGTTTAAAACGGAACGCAGTCCAATAGTCAGAGCACATAGGCAGAATTGACGAGAAACTAGTTCGCCTTCCTTCTGGAACCCGTGCATTCTGGTCTCTCGCCAAGGCTGTCCAAGGGAATTTCTGTAAGCCATCACTACTATCTCTGCACAGGGAGGATGACTCACTGGCCCATGACGCAAAAGACAAAGCCGACCTTTTAGGCTCCCTTTTTGCGTCCAACTCGACTCTTGATGACGGGGGGAAAACACCGCCGACCATCCCGCGGTGTGAGTGCTCCATGCCGGATGTGCTGTTCTCACAGCGCTCGGTTCGCAAAGCACTGCTCTCCCTGGACATCCAGAAGTCGAGTGGGCCTGACGGAATCCCCCCAATTGTGCTGAGGACGTGTGCTCCTGAGTTGGCACCGGTCCTAACGCGTCTTTTCCGGTACTCCTACTCCCAAGGCGTAGTCCCGAATTCATGGAAGACAGCTTTTGTCCACCCGATTCCTAAAAAAGGCGACCGCTCAGACGCATCCTACTATAGGCCTATCGCCATCACCTTCAAAATAATCCTTGTTCTCCAAAATAATGGAATCCATTATTAACTGCCAGCTCATCCGGTACCTTGAGGATCACCAGCTGATTAGTGACCGCCAATACGGTTTTCGTCGGGGTCGATCAGCTTGTGATCTTCTGGTCTACCTGACCCATAGATGGGCGGAGGCAGTAGAGTCCAAGGGGGAGGCGTTGGCCGTTAGTCTGGACATTGCGAAGGCCTCCGATCGGGTTTGGCACAAAGCGTTTCTTTCGAAGCTCCCTTCCTATGGGCTTCCCGAGAAATTGTGCAATTGGATCACCAGCTTCCTTGCAGATCGGAGCATCAAGGTCGTTGTAGACGGTGCATGCTCTGACTACAAGCCTATTAACGCTGGTGTTCCACAAGGCTGTGTGCTATCGCCAACGCTGTTTCTTCTGCATATCAATGATATGTTGCTAACTGGTAACATTCATTGCTATGCGGATGACAGCACTGGTGATGCTCTATACACCGGCCGTGCCAATATTTCTCGGGAAAACGTCGCTGAGTACCGGAACAAACTTGTGTCTGAAGTCGAGTCTTTACTGAACAAAGTCTCGGATTGGGGGCGACTAAATCTAGTCCAGTTTAATCCTCAGAAGACACAAGTTTGCGCGTTTACCGCTAAAAAGAGCCCCTTTGTCGTATCTCCTCAGTTTCAAGGCACTCCCCTTCTTGCCTCAGCCAGTATCGGTATCCTCGGAGTCGACATATCGAGTGACGTGCAGTTTCGTGGTCACTTGGAAGGGAAGGCCAAATTGGCCTCTAAAAAGCTTGGCGTGCTCAGCAGAGCGGGACAGTATTTCATGCCGGCACACCGCTTGCTACTTTACAAGGCGCAAGTTCGGCCTCACATGGAATACTGTTCCCATCTCTGGGCAGGGGCTCCCCAGTGCCAGCTCCTTCCACTTGACCGCATCCAACGCAGAGCGGCTCGAATTGTCGACGACCGAGCCCTTTCCGATCGGCTCGATTCATTGGCACTGCGAAGAGATGTTGCATCCCTTTGCATTTTCTTTCGCATCTACCATGGGGAGTGCTCTGAGGAATTGTTCGGATTAATCCCAGCCGCCAAATTTCACGAACGTACATCGCGGCAGAACTCCCGATACCATCCACACCATCTGGATGATTGGCGGTCCACCACTGTGCGATTTAGAAGATGTTTTCTTCCTCGCACGACCTCCTTGTGGAATCGATTACCATCAGCGATTTTTCCGGACCGATACGACTTAGGGACCTTCAAGAAAAGAGCGTACTCCTTTTTAAAAGGTCGGCAACGCATCTGCGATTCCCCTCGTGTTGAAGTTGTTCATGGGCGGCGGTAGTCACTTACCATCAGGTGAGCCGCATGCTCGTTTGCCCCCTCTCCTATAAAAAAAAAATATACTATAATTCCCATTTTTCGACACCGTTTTCAAATGAGAATATTTATTATGTATACGTTTTCTGTTCAACAAAAAAAAAATTAATAAATAATAACAATCATTCGTGGAAACTGTTAAATCTCTCGGCGCTGTTATGTTTTTTGATCACGTGGTCAAAGTACTGAGAGCACCTTAACTCGAAAGCGCCACTGCTCACAATACAAAAATGGCTGCGATTTATAACGTCATATATTTCCCTAGGGTACTGCGGCAGTATACTGCCAGTCCATAACGTAACGAATTTTTCACCAGTGAGAGCACTGAGAAGTGCTTGCAGTGTATATCGGAACATACCCAAAGTCTGCTACAAATAGCAGTTTATTTAATCGCAAGATCGCTCGGATTTTATAGCGCAACATCGGCGCCCGCCTCGGTGTGTCGGCTACCCGGCAGCTGAACGAATTCGTAAGAGAGAGAGAGAGAGACAGCGATTAATAAGAGATTGCGCTAATGTTGAGAAGTAAGATATATTTGCCGTGGCACGTGTCTGCAATAATTTTGACCGTGATTCACATTATAGGCCTTATGTGAAATTTGATTTCTTGTAATAAAGGATATTTTACATTGATCATTGTAATAAACTGAAACACACAACATTTACAGGTCGACAAAGCAGCCGACGGTTCGACAACGATCAAGAAACTTATGAGTGTGATCTACGTTCCACTCACTGATAAGAGTCATCAATATCGTAAGTGACTACCAGCAACTACAATCACCTATGTGCTACTCATAATTGTTTTGATAATGGTCTTTATTTATTGTCTCATCAGCCGCAACAGACGTTCATTAAATATTTAAACACAAGTAATATAGGTAATTATAAATATGAGAATGATAATGAATATCTATACTATATATAACAAGCACGCACTATTAGTATTTAAAATTTCTAATTTCTGAGGAATATTTATACATTGTACTACAGAAAATATTCCGTATATTATGCGATATAAAAGTCCGTTGTATATTTAGATAAATATGTTAGTACCTACAATTTGTTCCACTCATTTTTCTGAGTAAGGTCATAAAATTTATTTTTGTACATGGTTATTTAAAATTGATGTGAGTGACAAGTTTTTATCTTAAAGGGATGTCATTTATTTTTGTTTATAGGTTTCTTATTATTGTTATAGGACCCTGGCATTAAATGCGATTTTGACTGATTATTATTTAATCCTTATAAACTTTTGCGGTTGAACCTTATAGAGCAATTTATTTTGATGTCCTCCGATTATTAGATTTAATTTGTGAAATAAAAAGGAAACATACTCTGTAATTGCGTTTTATTTTTAATTATTTAATGCTTTTAAACAATTTTCCAGTGAATTTTTTCTTTCCAAAGGGTTTGTCTTCCTTGCTTGTATCTGGCTTTGGTTTCACATGTAATATTGTGTGAAGAATTTCTGCTTCTCCTCTATTTTCTAAGATGTCTGTTAATTGTTCCTGAAAATGAATGTTAAAATATATAGATCGTTAATAACTTGGACAATTTTGAATTATTTTATATTTATTTTATTAAGAAGACAATTTTGTTGTTTTTTATTTTAAATTTGTATTTGTTTTGATGACTAGAATATTATTTGAAGTAATATTGAAATAATTGCACAGGACAAAGTTATAGTGTTACTAATGATCCTATTCGCTATCAATTAGCTGCTTAGTCGCCTAGGAACATGAGCAAATGAGCAGCATATTGGAAGAGGCGATTAGGATAACGGGTAGTACGCCCTCTCGAGAATCGACCGCGACTTGCCCGCATACCCCTTAGCAAGCGCAATCGGGTTGTCGTGAGGGCTCTAAACCCAATGCAGGTGGCTTATGTGGAAGCCAGCTGGGAGCTTTGCGAGACTGACTCAACCCTTTTTGGCGCCGCACTGGCAGTATGCCGTATTATTGGCGCCAAGCTCTCCATGGCTGGACGTGCTACTACACAAAGTAGCGCCATCCCAGCCTGGAGAAAAAGAATTGAGGACCGTATCGCAAAGGCAAGAGCCCTCATCGGCAGACTTTGCTTCAGGTCGGCTAATAACGGGCCGAGAATTGTGCGCAACGTCAGGATGGCGTTTGCTGGGACAAATATCAATTTGTCCCAGCCGGATATAATGCTGATATAAAACTGACTGAGCGCATAGACGACCTGAAGCAGAGAATCGCTGCTTAGGGGAAGCGGATTCGGCAATATACCGAGAGGTCGACACGGTTCAACCAGAATAGTCTCTTCCAGAGTGATCAGAAGAGGCTCTATAAATCATTGGAGCGACCAGTGGTACGTGGAACGGGGCCAGCATCGAATCAGGCCGACACTGTCGCATTCTGTGGTCAGAGCCCGTAAACCACAGTGAGGGCCCTTGTACGGATGTTGTGGTAATCAATATGCGAATATTACCGCCCATGGACCCCGTCATCATAACGCCGGACGATGTAGGGAAGGTGGTCCGTAGGGATCCGAACTGGTAAAGTCCGGGGCTCAATGGGCTGCATCACTACTGGCTGAAGGGGTTTGTGGTGGCTTACGCTGTGCTAGCCCGACAGTTCCAAGAGGCTCTCGACCAGAAGTCGCCCCGAGCCTTTTCACTACTGGGGTCACTCATTCGGTTGCAAAAGACCAGGATACCACAGACCCAAGCAAATACCGCCCCATCACGTGTCTACCCACCATATACAAGACACCAACATCCATTTTGAGCGCGAGAATCACTCGTCACCTGAACTCAAATCAGGTGATGTCGCGCGCTCAAAATGGATGTCGAGGCGGTGGTCATGGAACCAAGGAACCATTCCTCATTAACATGGTACAACATTTAAGGGTGGTAGTGCCACGCAGCAGTTTTTGCTGTTGTAAGTATGGGCCGGCTCGAGCCGGGTTGGTACCACTACCTCACAGAATACCGGCGTGAAATAGAAGCTCTGCTTCTGCGTTTCGTCTGGTGAGTGCAGGTGGCCGGAGGCCCAATTCCCCCCCCCCCCCCCTCATCAACATGGTAGCGGAATTACACGATGAACTACCCCAGGAGGGTAGATAGATAGATAACTCTTTATTGCATTTATACAAAGTGTTACAATTACGGAATAACTTAAGAACTACAAACGGTGGTCATATCGCTTTAAGCGATTTCTACCTGACAAACTGAACGTAATAGGGAACAATGTAATATATTTTGACGGATAGGTGCAACGTGCAATATAAAATGAAACTGAGGACAAAAACTTATAATTAAACACGATTTATATAAATATATGAATTATATAATATATAATATTATAAAATTAATAAACATAAATAAATAAATATATACATATATACATACATATAGATAAATATATACATATATATATATATATACACACATACATACATACATATATATATATGCAGAGAAAATTAAGCAAAAAGAAAAAAAAAAAACAAGTATTTATAAAAAGAGGAAATTCATATAATTTATAATTATGACGGGAAATTCAAATAATACTCCTTCAGTTGTTTTTTAAAAATCTGTAAAGATTGCGCTTGCTGGATGTTAAGTGGTAATGAATTCCAGAGTCTGGTTGCTTGTGAAGTAAATGACTTATTATAAAAAGAAGTTACGCTGTAAGGAGTGTTCAAAGCCAAGCCATACACTGAACGCAAACTACGATCATGAAATTCATATCGATAGTGAAATTGTTCCTTAAGGTACCTTGGAGATTTCGGATCAAACAGAACACAAAAAAGTAAAGAAAGTAAATGAACATTCCGGCGAAGGTGAATTGGGAGCCACTTGAGTTGATTTCGAAATTGGGATACATGGTCATATTTGCGTAAGCCAAATATGAACCGAATGGAAAGATTTTGAAGACGCTCAAGCTTGTTTAATTGCTCCATGGTAATATCAGTGTAGCATATATCAGCATAGTCTAAAATAGGCAACAAAATGGAATGTGCTAACGCAATTTTGGTAGAAATGGGTAAGAAATTTCGAAGTCTTTTGAGACTTCCACAAGCTGCAAACATTTTCTTACTTATTTGTTCAATTTGTGGTGCCCAAGACATTGTACTGTCAATTAGACCAGTGCCAATTAGGTACCAGTACCCCTGGAGAATCCCTCGCTGAGTATCCACGACCATGTTATTTCGATCCTGAGCGTGGATGCTCAGGCTGCCCCGCGTATTCTGGGGGGGGGGGGGGGGGGGCAAAATTCCGCTCAAAAGCATAACTGCTAGGGACAAACTGAGCAAGAACACCAATGCGACCCCTGCCACGCTATCCGTGAATTTCTGCAACATCAGGAGACTTCACTCTAACCTAAACGCCGTCCACTACCATCTCGAGACGGCGAAGCCGGCCTTGCTCTTTCTGACCGAGACGCAGGTTTCCTCTCCGGCTGATATTTCGTATCTCTCCTACCCGGGGTACAAATTGGAGCATTCCTTTGTGCCTCGGGCTGGAGTTTGCGTGTATGTCAGAGAGGACATCTGTTCTCGACGCCTCGGCAGTCTTGAAGGTTCGGACCTGTCCATCCTTTGGCTACGCGTAGACAGCGACGACCATCCGCGCGTCTACAGGTGCCTCTATAGGTCCCATAGCGGTAATGCCGAAACAGACCGACTCATCGACCACGTCCAAATGGCTACAGATTCCTTGCTACAACAGGTCCCATCCGCAGAGATCGTGATCCTTGGCGATTTTAACGCCCACCATGCCGAATGGCTCGGTTCACGTCTAACCGATCATGCGGGGAGATCTGTTTATGACTTTGCCTTGGCATATGGTCTGACACAACTGGTTACTTCGCCTACGCGGATTCCAGATGTGGAGGATCATACACCTTCCTTGTTGGACCTTCTGCTGACCTCTCATCCGGACGGATATCAGGTTTCCGTCGATGCCCCTCTCGGCTCTTCGGACCATTGTCTGATCCAGAGTGTGGTGCCACTCACGATCCCTTCGCGGTTGCGTTCTGCAGGTTGCCGCCGTGTTTGGCATTACAGGTCGGCGGATTGGGACGGAATGCGGTCTTTCTTTGCATCCTACCCATGGGGGGCGGGTTTGCTTCTCGCCGGACGATCCCAGCGCTGTTGCTGACTCTGTCACTGATGTGAACAAGGAATGGAACTATTTATTCCATCATCTGTGGTACCCATCGGAGGCAGATCTCAGCCTTGGTTTGGTCGCTCCTGTAAGACTGCATTACGCAGTAAGCAGGAGTGTTATCAAGCCTGGGCTGCGGCTTCGGCGACTCGGGATGTAAACACCAGCACACTTAAAAAGAAGTATAACTTCGCCTCCAGGTCCTTCAAAAGAGTTATTGCCAAGGCAAAGTCAGAGCACATAGGCAGAATTGGCGAGAAACTAGTTCGCCTTCCTTCGGGAACCCGTGCATTCTGGTCTCTCGCCAAGGCTGTCCAAGGGAATTTCTGTAAGCCATCACTACCATCTCTGCACAGGGAGGATGACTCACTGGCCCATGACGCAAAAGACAAAGCCGACCTTTTAGGCTCCCTTTTTGCGTCCAACTCGACTCTTGATGACGGGGGGAAAACACCGCCGACCATCCCGCGGTGTGAGTGCTCCATGCCGGATGTGCTGTTCTCACAGCGCTCGGTTCGCAAAGCACTGCTCTCCCTGGACATCCAGAAGTCGAGTAGGCCTGACGGAATCCCCCCAATTGTGCTGAGGACGTGTGCTCCGGAGTTGGCACCGGTCCTAACGCGTCTT